ATAGCCACCACACTAAAAGCTTGGCAGGAAAGTGGCCACCGCATGCAAACCAAGCAGGAAAGCAGCCATCACACTCAAGACTCAGGGGGGGTTGGCCCCTGGAGCAGGGTCGATTAATCTAGTTGGCTAGCTTGATCCAAGGTACACTGGAAACGTGCCAATTGTGTTTTTTATCCGACTTATACGTGTTTACCAAAATTGTCGACAAATGGTATAATAAAAAAGAAACAATTAATTGAGACGCACTAATTCGTGGGTAACCCCTAATAATTTTGGGTGGAGGGGTCATATTGAACATCATTGAGCCGGAAACAGTCCAAGATGACTGAACCACGAATACCCTTTGCCTATATGTTCAATGAGGCCATGTGAAATTCCAACCCGATTTTGCCCTGATTTGGCCTCCTACGTGTGGTGTGCAAACGGCGGAGCTTTAAATTGGGGTTGGGTGCTGTGAATCAAAATGCATCACAAATGACTCGGAGCTGCCCTGCTTTGCACGAACGAAGGGTCCTCAGCCCTCTCGAGTGGAGAACCCCGTTGGATACAACTTTGCACGAACGAAAGGTCCTCTCGAGTGGAGAACCCCTGTTGGATCAAACATCCCCTTTTAAAATGCGGGAACTCTGCACAAATCTCCAGAAAATGCAAGGTGGTCCGAGAAAATATGTTATAGAATAGGTGGCGCTTTAGGGAGAGCAAGCATCAAATGCAAAGTCAGTGTCTGATCTGCTCAACCAAATGGGCACAGCAAATTTTTTTTCACAACCCCTTGAAATTATTTGTAGATGGCATGTCCAGGGGTTGTGTTAAAATCCTGCTGTGACATTGCACATCATGGGCCTTGAGGTTGGGCAGACCTTTCTACATGCAAAGAAACAGTTACTTTTGCAGATTCGCAATTTTTCTTCAAGCCCTGGCAAGCTCACCACAAGACACATCAAAGTTAAATTGCCTGAAGCTAGTTTCTATTATAAACGACCGCCAAAACAATGTTGTTCAAACAAATCTGTCAACTTCACTTCTATCAAGCAGCGGCAGGGCGTTATGGCAACATCCCACAACGTCATACAATTTGTCTTATGTTTCTAAAGAATAGGTTCTCTTCAATTCAAGCTCAAAATCAAACACTGCTAAATTATTTCGCCTTACCGCCACGGACTTTTTAGAGCCTTTCCGCACAAGGATGTAAAAACACACACTTAGATTGTTGCTCGCAAGAGCTAGTATCAGTACGAAGTTCCCCTTGACTTGAAGAACCGAAGGAAGCGCAAACCGCAGCAAGGTGGTAAAGTCAGTGAACTTGTAGGTGTTGAACACAGTTTGGAAATGCATTATCCGCTTACTGCAAAACACTGTAGTGGACAGCTTATTCAACAGTTCAAACAGTCAACTCCTCGCAGGTACGTGCAATCTGCGTCCAGATTGCATATCACAGCAAACTTGAAGTGTCTTCGTTGAGCGGTGACTTCAAGAATGCCCACCGCTCCCCTGATGCGTTGAAGTAAAACCGAGTGAAGATGTATCACGAAGTTGTCTAGTTGAAAGGGTCGTGAGATGGGTGTGAAATCCTTGGAAACAGGCGTTGACACACACACACACACATATTCTAAACCAAGGTAAAGCAAATTGTTTGGTACGTTGTTCGAGTCTGGAGCTAGAGGCGGGTGACGCGACTACATCTAATCTGTCTCTATATAATCCCCGGGTCCCCGAGGAAGCAAGCGTAAACATATGTAAACATATAGTTCACATTGGCCTAAAGTTTTTCTCTCTCATCCTATGTAAACAAAGAAGTCAACATCTATCTTCAGGCCGACTTTCCCTGTCCAACCCGTTCCAAACCCTAGAGCCCCAAGGCAGCCCAACATAGCATCCAAGACAGCCCAACATAGCACCAAGACAGCCCAACACAGCCCCCCAAACAGCCTAACATAGCCCCAAAACAGCCTAACATAGCCACAAGACAGCCCAACTTAGCCCGCAAGACAGCCTTGCTGCAGAAAGCAAAGCCTCTTTAGGTCAGTGGCCCTGTCGGGCGTGGACTTGAACCCCAAAGTCTTCCGTGTAAATGCTTCTGCGTGTAAAAGCTCTTCTGTGTGTAAAAGCTCTTGCAGTGTACAAACGCTTTTCTGTGTGTTTATGGGTTTTAAAGGTCCGAAGGCTCAAGTGTTAAGAAAGTTTCTACCACTCAGTGTGGCACATCTTTTTTGCTATTTTACCTCCACCCCTCAGCCCTGGCTTCATTTCACCCCCTCGTCGCTCTGCATCTCCTGCCCAAATGTGCAGTAGGATGGCGCTTGAGCCACGTAGAGCAGCAGGAAGCAGTATGTGTCTGGAGGCAGTGCAGGTTTAGAAGATCAGGGATCCATAGTGCAATGCGTCGGCGACTGAGGCAGCGGCAGGCTGGAAGGTCGAGGCAGCAAAATTGCGCTGTACCATAGGGTGGTTGCAGCAGTTCTGTCTGTGTGCCGTAAGCCATGAGAATCTAAGAGAAGCGGTGCTCTAGTTGAGACCGGGACTCCATTATATGCGACAAAGAGCGCGTAGGAGGTTCTATTCTTTTTGTCGGCTGCACTCAATCGACCAATGGCTTGGCGATGGTAGAGAAGCCGTCCTTCTGGAACCCCTGTTGACGGAACCACCCCTCTGGGATTTGGGACACATCACAGTCCAAGTCATCCAGGATCTGCTTCAACAGCCACGTGTTCCCAGTGGCTGTAACTTGGATGCTGTCGACGTCCATGGAGAGCTCGACCGGACATGACCGCGGGACGAAGGCGGCGGCAGCAAGGTGCATCCAATGGTTGGGTGCGCGGCGGGGGTGTTGACGGTGATGCAGAATGCGTCGTGCTTGAAGGTGCTTTCTGGGACTCCTAGTGGGGCATAGACTTGGATGGTCAAACGCTGAAGCTTTTCCTTGACAATGCGCCCGCTCCAGCAATTGCATAAGTACCACCGCGTGGCTGCAGCATCCGGCCGCCGCCGTGCACAAACATAGTCCTTCTCTTCTCTTCTCTTCTCTAAAATCCTCAAGGTTCGGGGATTAGGAGATATCAGTACTAACCCTAAACCCACAACCCAGAAAGCACTCGAAGCATAAAGACAGGTCAAAATATAGTGATCTTTGGTGGGTCATCTCACCCGGTACTTCACACAAAGAATTTGCTCGATGTCACCTGGTCAAAACGACCTCAACCCGAAGCATGGCTATCCACCATGCCACACGCATGTGCACCCAAATGGATTTGGCTGCTTTGATGAGCGTGTCGTGGTTAAACAACAAATAAAACATGCGAAAAAAAAAAAAAAACATCAGAAGGGAATCGAAGAGAGGCACCCTCCAGGGACCCATCCACCGGACTCATCGACCGCCCTGGAAACCTCTTTAACTGGCACCTCCCAAAAGCATTGATTCACGATATTTCACGATAGACTGGAGGCTCCGGGCGTGCCTGCGTGCTTGATGCAACGATCTCGGGCACCCGGACGCAAAGGTCCCACAGAGGTGACTCCTGAGCATTGCTGTGCGCCACATCGAGCGACGGCAGCAGTCGTCCGAACTTCCCTAAGAACTTGGGTCTGTGGGGCCAGTGGGGGACTTGTGGCTATGATGGGCTATGTGATTTCTGAGACACGCAAATTCAGCACGATACTCACCAACGAGTCAAGTACTGTGGCTTGAAGTCTTTCGCCTGGCCCCACTACATTCAACTAAGACAGCCAACAGCCAAGCACCAAGCCAACAAAAACTCCCAGCACGCCCCACCCATCGCATTCCGAGCATCGTAGCTGGCCATCGTTCACCTCCACGGTCGCCAGCACCGCACGCCGTGCGTGCAAAAGGCGAACCATGGTGGCGTGGTGGTCGGGACGTGATGCTCTGCGATCTAGATAGTGCAGTGTGTGGTGTGGGTTCTATACGGACAGGTAATGGCAATGGCACTGCACGGCGCCCTGGGCGGATGCTGGTTGTTCCGGGCCTCGTTTTGCAGCAACAGATTCCTGCTGTGATGAACAATATATATAGACCCATTGGCTCAATGGACTCAGACAAATCACATGACTTATGACATGACTTGTGAGTGATACTGCATGTGATCGCATGTGTCTCGAGATCATGAAGATCCAAAACCACACATCAATATACATCACATGAATCACCAAGTACCTGTAAGCACTTGGTTACACATGTGCAGAGTCATGTCGGGCCGCCGATTGGAAGCATATATTTTATCTTTATTGACATTCTAGAGCGGATTGCATAGGCACAGCGGCTCCTCAGCTTGTGCTAGTTAGCATTTGAAGGCTTTTCGCAGCTGAAACAACAGGACATATTATGCTCGCATTCAAACCCATTGAAGAGGACTTCAATCGGGGTTACGTACCCACACAGAGAGGCGTGGAGTAGGTCGGCCTGCTTCCGCTTGACCTTTCTTTTCCGCTGCTTCCGCACGCTTGGCGGAGAAGAAGCTCCTGGTGATCGCTGTTGTTCCAATCGATGAAGCTCTTCAGTTGGTCCTAGGATGCAACAAGTGCACAAGTGACCTGTGTCTTGATGAGTGACCTCGAAAGACTGACTGGCCCCGAAGACCTACGTTTCAAGAAATCAACACAATGAACAACGTGAGCACACCGCTGCCCGCAAGTCCAGGACGTTATGGATCGTTATGG